CATCGCGTTGCGGGTTCGTGCGCGAGCCGCCGGCCCTTTCCGTCGCACGCATCTCGGTGGAGATCGACCCGACTCCCGCACCGATCGTCGAACGAGAATACCATCCGATGCACGCGCGAGAAAGCCGACGGGAGTCTCGGCCGGATCGCCGCCTCCGACTCCGTCGAACTTCGGACGAGGCTCGAACTCGCAGGAAGAAATCGCGGTCTTCGTCGACGACTTCGGAACCGAAACGCTCGAAATGCACCCGACGTCGAGACGATCGTCGATTTTTAAAGTTCGATCGAACGTCGCCGAAGAGACGGAGTCGAACGTCGGCGAGTCGCAACGCGAAGCAGACGATCCCATCGAAGCGCTTTTTCGTTTGGCTGCCACAAGAAAGCTCTCGGGATCCTCTCGGAACTCTGCGTCTCCGGACGAAGAGATCGTCTCCGTACGGAACGTCACTCCCTCGTTCACCGATATTTAACCGCTCTTTCGCTCGATCTTTACCCGAAGGGTCTTCTGACGGCGTGAGAGAGGGGAAAAAGAGGGGAATCCCCGATTCTCATCCGAAGCTCGGGGGAAACGACTCCTCCACGAGCAGGATCTCGAATAGAGACGAGACTCCTCGGCGAAACTCCGGTTAACCCAGGGGTTCGTTCCCCCGCGCACCTTCGCTCTCGTCTTCGTCATCCTCGTGAGACGAGTCGGAACGATGCTATTCCCTATAATAGAGAACATTTGGAACGAAATTCGCATCTTTACGGTGTTTTCGGCTACCCCGGGGAATCGGAGCTTCGAATTTGCCGGAGCGATTCCACGTCGAGAGAGTCCGAGCGTGCCCGATCCGGTTTCTCTCGATCGGTGGTTCTCGACCGTGTTACCGTCGCGACGCATCGAGTCCTCTTCCCATCTGTATGCGACCCACGACTTTAGGATCGTCGAAAAATTATGCAGCCGTGTGACTCGGGGGGAAAAAAAATGGATTGCATTTTTTAACACGTTGACGAATCCTGGCATCAGGACGCATTGTCGCCAACGTGTTAAATACGGAAACGACGCTCTCGATACATCGTCCTCGGTACCGGTGATTCCTTCGTCGTTCCTTGCCGTTTCCTCTTCGATCTTCCTCCAAAAGAACACCAACGGTTCATCCTTCGATGTTGGGTGATTTCGATCTAAATGCTGCTTCGGTTTCGAAGGCTTCAAGGATGCATCGGCCGACGGTTCACCACAGACTTGGCATTCCGGTTTCATACTTTCCGACGCCGTGAAACCACACCGAAGGTATGAATCGTCATACTTCCGGATCGGTACTAGTTTCCTTTTTTGCCGACTCCTGTCTCGGTGACGTAACCAGGGGTGCTACCATTAGTACCAGCACTGGCACTCGGTTTTACCAGGAAACAAATCCGTTTCATATGGATGTTGAACCTAAATAAGTAACTACAGGAAATTCAGGATGAAATGAACTTCCTAAACCTCCCTCTCCCCCCTCCAAAAAAAAATTGAAAGAAGGAATGTAGCGTGTTTGTGTAGCAGAGAAACGAAATCGAGAAAATAAACCGGATTTTGCCTGTAAAAAACCCAGCGTCACCCTTGACCACGTTACTTAGGAAACGGAGGAAATGCCAGAATCGACGAGGAGTTCACCGAGGATGAAGGTTAAGAGCAAGAATGATTAAAAAGTAATTTTAAAGCCGTTTGCCTTTCCTTGGAATCGTCTGCCGGCAAGCCTTCTCCCCGTGCTGCCTTCTCGTCTGGATCGATCGATGAGGTCGTTCCTGGAAAGTCCAGCCCTTGTGATATATTGCCCCGTGGTTCGGTTCGGCACTCGCGATCGGTCTGCCTTCTCGATCTCTCTCTTTGACTTTTAATTCGTTTCGTTCTCTCGCGACCCACCGGTCTCGAACCACTGCTCGAGATGCTCGTCGAGAGGAATACGAGGAGGTCGAATTTCGCGACGGGAAGGGGTCGAAAAAAGGGAAGAGGCACTACCAGAACCGATTCGTATCGGGCTTCGAACGCGTCGCGCTCGGTGCACGGTTCCGAACGTTTCCGACCCACTAAAACGAAGACGGAACCGAGATCGACGGGAATACGGTGATCCGATGACGTTCGACACGGCCGAGAATGCCCCAGGTACCGACTCCGACACGAATGCTCGATACGACTTCCCCGGACCTCCGGGAATCTCGGATCGGCCTCCCGAAGCTCTCGACGGAGCGACGGATGACCCTCGTCGCGTCGTCTTCTCGGTGAGTCCGGGTGACGACCGACGCCCGATTCGTGGGGTGGGGTCGATGCAGATCGCTCTGCCGGAGCCGTGCCGTCGGCGTTCCGGGTGTCGAGGTCCGGACGGTTCCTCGGCGACCCTCGTCTCTTCGACGACGCGAAACGCGAAGCCGGCCGTGCGGCAAGAGGCTCGGCCCTGCATCGGCACTGCCTCTTCTCGGTCCGAGCAGATCACTCGGATCTCCGCGTGGCCCGTTCGTACGAGCGGAACGTTTTCGCAGCGGCAGACGTGACGTTTAACCGTATCTCGTGCGAAAGGGTTGGAAACTCGGAACGCCCCGTATGCGGGTGGGTCGCGGGTCGCGAGTCGCGAGTTCGAGACCTCTGCTCGAGGGTGTCTCGTCGAAGGAGATGGAAGGACGGGACCGGATCGTCTGCTGGAAACGACACGAGAACAGACGGTACGGTGCCGGCACGATGAAGGAAACTAAACACGAGGGCGGCACCGTGGAACGATCTCGCATCTCGTCCCGTTCGTCGAGACGACGTTTCGGACTCGTTTCTCAAAGGAACGATGGCGATCGATTTCGCCGTCCGATATCCGAAGATGCGGACGTTTTCCCGCCCTGCTGTCACTTTTCGGACGAGGCGATCGCACCGAGAGCCGAACTCGTCGGGCCGACGGGCAGAACTTTTCGTCTCGAGAGGCGAGAGCATCGGCATCTGAAAGAAACGTCCACCTCCGTGTGGACGTCCCCCGAGGCCAGGGGTGGGCCGACCGACCATAAGAAAGACGGGAAGGGAAAAAAAGTCGGATCGGAGACAGGAAGTGGGAACGGAGAGGGGGAAAGACCGAGAATATTTTTTTTTTCTTCTGTTTCTGTCTTCGGCTCGATCTCATCGGATGCATGCTGCGGAAGTGGACCGTTCTCATACTCCCTCGATTTCAAAACCTACATTGGCTAATCCCCTCTCTATATTCCCGTTTATCACTTTAGTATGCAGGCTTAACTTTGCTAATTTTTAACTCGTCCTGGGGCATTTATCTCTACTTAAGGTGAACTCAAAGTGAAATTTTTACACGGACGTTGCCCATTCGATGTTTCTGCAACCGCCGGTATGGCATCGTCCGCAGGTTTCCTATCCGGAGGTGCCGGTGTCCAAAGACGTCGTAGAACGAAGAAAAAGAGAAAAAAAAAAAGACTCGAACGGGGCTTGGCAGCTGATTCTCGACGGCAATAGGAAAAAATTAGGGCCGTCCTGATGCATCCATCGATGAATGGATGTCGTCTTCGATAGTTGGAGGCATGGTAGGTTTCGTTACTCTTTGCGAAGGTAACACGTTCCCCCTGCACCCCCGATCGCAAGCGAATCACAATGGAAGCCGGACAGAGGTCCGCGCTCCCATCGCGGCGAGAAAAGATGGAATCCTCCGGAAACCCCCCCCCCCCCTCCCGATGCATCGATACAATATCGATAGTTCGGGTCGATGCATGGATGTTTTGAAAACTGCTATCGTGACAGCCCTAATTTTAATCGATGAAGGAGCCTCCTCGCTCGTTTCGTTCGTCACGATCACGATCGTGACGAACGAAACGAAGGAGACTTGCAGGCCCTCTTCCCCTTCCTCTCCTCGACCCGACGCGTTTCGACCGCCGTCTTTCCTCTAATGGCAATGACGAGATTTCTTGGGATTCGGGTCGTCGATCGTCGAGACGTCACGCTTCGCAGGATGGCCTGGCCCGACCGTCGAAACCGTCGACTCTGGGATCCGTGGCCACCCGAGATCGGGAATCCGGCCGTTCCGACAGAGCGGGATTCGATCGGATTCGAGCCGTTCGGACGCATCTCGTCGCAGACGGTCCCACGGACTACACCACCGTGCACTCGAGCACGATCGAAGACGAACGACACGAGACGATTTCGAGAGCGATACGCTCGAACGTCTTCTCTGCGAGAATCTGGACGGTCGAAAAAGGCGATGCGGTCGAAGAAGCCGTCGTTCGGTTTTCGTCGCAAAGGAGGGAATAGGACAGACGAGCGACGATCGCGCCGTCGAGGTATTCTCCCCGATACTCGAGTGCGGCCCTCGAAGCTCACCGAAACTCGTGAACTGGCCCTCCGGCCGAAACGATGGCCCACCCCTGCCTTAGGCGGTATTTCCACCGGTCGGAGCGATGTCCATCCGAGGGAAGATTCACCTGGCTCGAAATAAACGTGCGCAAACGGATTGACGGATTTCCACCGGGGAGGGGGGGGGGGGACGTCCACCCAGTTTCACGTTTCGTAAGGGCATCCGTTGCCGAAATTCGAGAAACGCTTTCGCATCGAAGTTTCTCGTAGCCGTTTCTCCCGCCGTCGGGACGGCGGAGAACAGAAGCGGAAGCGGTCGCGAGCCGGCCGACGAACGGATCCGTCGAGCGCCTCTCGTAACCGACCGAAAGGAAAAGGGTGTCGGCACGCTTTCGGTTTCCGACTCGCACCGATCTGGGCGAGACGCACGGCGAGAGACTCCGAGGAATTCCGACTCCCCGCCGTCCGTCGGTATCGGTTGCCGGTCGCTAGAGCGAGGCACTGCTTTTTCTGCGACGAGCGCGAATTCCTTTCCGTCGAGATTCCAGAACCGGGATGCAAACGTTCGAAACGCGCGCCTCGTTCGCCGACGGAGTCTTGCAAAACGGGCGACGTCGCGAATACCGCGAAAATATCGCGAAGGGAAAAGAGGGTTCCGAGGAAGAATACGAGCGGAAGTCAGGTGCGAACATCTCTTTCATTCCTGCATCTCACAACGGGATCCATCCACCGTACTGAACGACGGCGTCCATGTCGTTCGGTCGCCGTACGACGTCCTCGCGATCTGCTACGTCTCCGTCACCGTGGCTGTCGGTCGTCGTGGAGGCGGGAGGGAGTGGTCTCCACCCTCCCGGGAGGGGCCTCCACCTCCCAGAAGCGACGGTCGGTTCCCTACCGCTCCGTCGCCGCGGGTACCGCTCGTACCTCCGTTGCCATCCCTCTCGTTCCTGGCTCCGTCTCCTCTCCGCATCGCGACCGGTCGGTCTCGGTCCCGGTTCCCCTCTTCTCCTCACCTCCTCCATCGTCTCCCTTCGTCGGACCGTGGAAACGTAAAGACTTCCTCGTCGACGCTCTCTCGGGGCGTAAAACTGAAGCGTGAGAAAGAAAACGGCGGACCGACCACGGGGTGCGAACGGACCTCCGCACCGACGGCGGATGTCTCGCGGTTCGTCTCGCGGCTTCTCGTCGGATTCCCGTCTGTGAGCCCTGGACGTTCAGGGTCAATCGACTCTTCCTGCAACATCGCATCTCGGATTGCGTCCCCGTTCGTTCGACGACCCGCGCGGAGCGAGCCGGAAAGAGAGAAAGAGAGAGAGAGAGCTGTAACTCACTTGAGGAGGAAGCCGATGGCGAGAACGGGAAGGAGCAGAGAAACTTGATTGAAGAACCCCGGGGCGACGGTCGTCACCCTGCAGGAATCGGATGGATATGAGGAAAACGGTGTTCCCGATGCGGGGAAATGCCGAAGGAACGCGCCTCGCCGATCCTCGCGCTCCGATATCAGAGCACCTTCTGCCTTCCGACGGTAGAGCGTCGACCCTCGACGGAGCGAAGGTCTCGCCCCGCTCGTGGCTTCGGGTTCGCGATCGTATTTTACGAAGACTGCGCGATCGCGTTCCTCCTTCCGTCGAGAATTCCACTTCCGAACCGAATCCACGATCGCGGTAAAAAAAAAAAAAAAATTCCGCATGGGAGCGTTCTTTTCCTCGCGATGCGATTCCCGATGGTTTCTCGGAGCACGATGCCGGAAAGGATGCATTCGCTCCGCCCGTTCGGAAGTTCCGATGCGTGCGGTGGATCCATCGAAGTTCGCGACGAAAACTCGTCGACCGAAACGGATGCGTTCCGGAGGAACTCTCGAGAAGAGCGACACGGGTCGGGGAACGGAACCGACGAGTGCTCCGTCCGTTCCGAGATTCCTCGACTCGCCGACGTCGATTCGACTCCGTACGAGACCGAATCGTCCGTACGCGGTCTCGCGTCGACGACGTGCAGACTCTCGTCGGACCGATCGACCGATCGAAGCCGCGAGGCACGGACGATCGACTCGAAAGCGCGGAGGATACGATCTCTGCGATCCGCGTCGGATCGCGAAGCCGACGACGCGCGACGATTTCGATCGGAAGGAAACGGTTCGCACGTGGACGTCGCGCATCGGACGATCCTCGGTGAGGAACCTGCGAGCGATTCGGACGGTCGTGTCTTCGCTTTCTTTATTCCTTCCGAGCTGAACCTATCGGACCGCCGGGAGAGACGGAACGAAGATCGGCGAGCTCGTACTCGGTCCGTTTGGAACGCTTCACCTTCCGCTTCCGATCGCGAGGAGACGTGGATGTACCATCCCCTCTCCCCCGAGACCTCCGTCCGAAACCACGCGATCCGGAAGACGAAGTCCGCATCGGGAAAAAAGGAGCCGTTTCTCACCTGGGTCCCCCTTCGCGCGACTCGAGCGCTCCGCCGGTCGAGCCGTGCCACCGACCCGCTCCGACCGTTTCGACCGCGAATCCGTCGTCGATTCGGTCGCGAAGCGACGAAAACGCGGCGCGTGGCCTCGGAGACACCGTCGATACCGTTCGGCTCTGGAAAACGGTGGGAACGGGGAAACGATCGCGTACCGTACGGAAAGCGCCGAGGACTCGTTCCGTTCGCTTCGAGGGGGGATGAGCTTCGTCGCTCTGCTGCCATGGCAGCAGCTCTGCAGAGCTGCAAATTCCGCCGCTCTCTTCCATCCGGAAGACCTCGTTCGTTCCGATCGCCGTACGCGGTTCGTCCGACCTCGCGTCCGTGCAACGTCCACGGGGCATCGAGACCTCCACGCGAAACCGATTTCGCGTCACGTCGAGACCCGCCTCGTTTTCGACATCGACCCCATTCCGCTTCGAACGGTTTCGACAGAGGCGACATCGAGTCGACGTCGCATCGAAAAGGTAGCGAGAATCCGACCGGTATCCGGGACGAATTCCACTTCCTTGCAACATTTAGACTCGTCTCGTATCGAACACGATGGTGCTTCGAGCCATCGACATCCGTACAAAAATCTCACAATCGATTCACCGTCGATTCGAAGACGAATAAGCGGATACTTGAGCATCCTCGACCGATAATGAACATCGAGTCGATTCTGATGCGCGAACTGGATATCATATGTAGGAAAAATAGAAATTCAAGCGATATTCAAGCTGATAGGAAAAAAAAAAGTTCATTATTATTATTATATACTGGTGGCGTTCTTTACATATCGATGATATTAACCGTAAAATGCAGAATGTACAAAACTCTATTAATGTATTTCAGATTCTAATCGTACGAGAAGCCCTCGAGGCACCACCCGAACGAGACGGCGATACGAAATTCATTTATGCGAAAGAGTCAACTCGATGCGTCGACTCTTTCCTGACGGGCGCATTCTCGCGAGCGAAGGGATATCGTCCGATCGCTCTCGTCCTGCGATGCAAGCTTCGAGGATACGAAGATTCATCTCTCGCGAAAACGCTAGCCGTCGGCTCTCTTCTCGCATCCGAGTTCGGGAGCCGGAGAGAATAGGAATGGGAGTGGCTCCGATAAGAGCGCGAAAGCTCACACGATCCCGTTGATGTCCACATCGACGTTGAAGGGAGGTTCGTGCGTGGGCCATTCACCAGACACCAAGGAGTCAAATACGAGAGGGAGGAACACGAACGTCGCCTTCATCCTACGACCTCCGACTGAGCGAAATGGTTCTCTACGCTCTCGCATTCCCATTCTCATCCGGCAGTGGGTCGTTTCCCATTCCTCTTGTGAACTCCTGATCTCGTTTTCATTCTTCCATCCCACAGTTTAAGAAACCCCTCGAGTGGGGGGGGGGGGGAAGGAGGGGGGTTCGGTGAGGTTGACGTCATGAAGAGACGTGTGAGGAGACATGAAAAAGTCCAGGCAGAACTCAATCCGGTAGAGTGAGTCGAATGGAAATTATGAATTCCGTGCAGACTTCTTTCAGGTATTGTGCTCCCGCCATCAATCTCAGAAGGTACCACCACACAAGCTACTTGATAGTTTTTTTTTCCAACCCTTTAAGTGCTATGGTCACGCCTACGTGTCTTGAAACTTCCAACGATTGCGGTGTAATGTCGATAAATATATTAGCACAGTAAGCTCAATAATATCCGTCTTTTTCGTTCATTTCCGGAAGCTGCGTTTTCCCAAAAAGGATCCAGCACAGGGGGTGCAGTTTCGCTGGAGAACATTCAATATCTAACTGTAAGCAGGAAGTGAGGTGAGAGGCGCAGAGAAGTTCCGGCTAATGACAAGGCAAATGACAATAGGTTGCAAACAAAGACTTTCCCAAGGGCGTTGAATTTCAAGGCACGATAGATCGCCATTGAAAATTCGGCGAGAATCGCTTCTCATATGCCGATATCGAGGGAGATGATCTTTTTGCAGGGTTGCCAGAGTTGGTCATTTGATACCCAGGGGCCTGCATTGAGGCTAGGAGGACCATTCCATGCTGGACCTATTCGACCAAGCCAGGTACCATCCTGCTGCACCTAGAGCGTTTCAACTGCATGTCATCCCTAGGGTGAACCCTGACTGATCCAGTTATTTAAAACGCCGATTTTTCCGGTTTAAACGGGAAAACGCGGCAGCTGATGCATGTGTACCCTGCCCAGAGGACTAAAGGGTGGATCGCCATCGAAAATTCGGCGAGAATCGCTTCACAGATTCCGTTTTCGGGGGCGATTACCTTTTTCCAGGGTTGCCAAAAAGGATCATTTCATTCCCAGGAGCCTGCATCGAGGCTAGGAGGACCATTCCATGCTGGACCTATTCGACCGTGCAAGGTACCATCCTGCTGCGCCTTGAGCATTTCAACTGCTTGTCATCCCTGGGGTGCCCCCTGACTAATCCACATCTTTAAAACGCCAATTTTTGTTGTTTGAACAGGAAAAAGCGGCAGCTGATGCATCTGTATCCTGCCCAGAGGACTAAAGGGTGGATTGCCATCGAAATTTCGGCGAAAATCGCTTTATGAATACCGTTTTCGAAGGCGATTATCTTTTTTGCAGGGTTGCCAGAGAGGGTCATTTGATTCCCATGGGCATGCATCGAGGCTAGGAAGACCAATCCATGCTGGACGGATTGGATCGAGCCAGGTACCATCCTGCTGCAAATAGAGCGTTTCCACAGCCTGTCATTCTAGGGGTGCCCCATGACAGATCCTCTTTTTTAAAACGCCGATTTTTGCGGTATTGACGGTAAAAGGCGGCAGTTGATGCATCTGTATCCTGCCCAGAGGACTAAAGGGTGGATTGCCATCGAAAATTCGGCGAGAATCGCTTCATATATGTGGTTTACAATGGCGATTTTCTTTTTACAGGGTTGCCAGAGTTGGTCATTTGATTCCCAGGAGCCTCCATCGAGACTAGGAAGACCATTCCATGCTGGAGCTATTGGATTTTAGCCAGGTACCAACCTGCTGCACCTACAGCGTTTCAACAGCTTGTCATTCTAGGGGTGACACGAGACTGATCAACTACTTTAAGACGCCGACTTTTGCGGTTTGAACGGGAAAAAGCGGAAGCTGATGCATCAGTACCCTGCCCAGAGGACTAAAGGGTGGATTACCATCGAAAATTCGGCGAGAATCCCTTCATATATGTCGTTTTCGAGGGCGATATTCTTTTTGCAGGGTTGCCAGAGTTGGTCATTTGATTCTCAGGGGACTGCATCGAGGCTAAGAGGAGCAATCCATGCTGGACGGATTGGATCGAGCCAGGTACCATCCTGCTGCACATAGAGCGTTTGTGCTCCCTTGTTTTTTTCGTTTTTTCCATGGTTGTTCGCCATCGTTTGGGATAAGTTTGACATCTTATTTTTCCTTTTGCTTTCCTCTTTCTAATAAGCTATTGTTTGCATTCTGTTTGCTCCTAATTTGTATTGGTTTGCATAATCATCATTCGTTGAGTTCTTTTTTCTTTTCTTTTTCTCTTTCCTTTCTTTTCCTTTTTTGATGGGAGTATCCTTTGTGTTTCATCCTTTTTAATTC